CTGGATTCCCTCATGTTTGTCAGATCTTGCTGATCCTAAGGAGACAAGAAATGAATGTGGTATTCTATGTGTGATCTCACCTGAATCATCACAGAGCCATTTTTGATACCTATCTTATTGGAAGTCCGTGGAAACTGTAGGTACACAACATGCCTGAAGGTAGGGCCACTTTTATTATGGTGGGTGTTGGTCCTTTGCCAGACTTATTGGGGTATCTCTCACTTAATCATTTCCCTGCCATTTGTGGGGGCCTTGGACATTGGTGTACCTCAGTCCCTCTTATTCTCTGTTTGTGGCACATAATGGTCTAGTCTTCTGTGGGCTGTCAGACTTCGGTTTAATTTTAGTTGTTGGGCTAATGTGTGGGTGCTCGGTGGTATTGGTGGCCTGCAATATGAAGCAGGTCAGACTAGATGATCTAGTGGTCCCTTGTGGCCTTAAAGTCCATGACTGCATTAGGCTCCTAAATCCACATTTTAGTTTCTAAATTTTAGGAACCCAGGTTTAAAAATGTTGGCCAGAATAAGCATAATATTCTTCAAAGCTGTCATGAAAAAAGTCTATATTGGGGGGAAGGGAATTATTTTTGAAATTCTCAAAATGGGGAGACTCCAACCCAAATCACTATTGCTGGTCTTTATGGTACTATTCTATGTAAGTTAAAAAGTAGACCTGTTCCTCTAAAGCTCTCTGACATACAGGATATAGTTGACACTGCCAACTATCTTCTAGCCCTGGCAGCTGTTCAGTCAGCAGTGAAGGCTTTGAATCTTTTAAAGGATTGGAGAGCTTCTCTAGACTGAAAATTGGTCATGTTTTAAAAGCTAATACTTTTTAATCAACACAGTTTTAAACAGGACTTTGCAACTAGTGTAGACAGGGCAAGTCATATTTAAAGCCTTCCTTTTTTAGGAGGAAAATGATCCAAGTTTTGTAAGCCCTTTGGGGCAGAGACTGTCTTGTTCTGTGTTTGTACAGCACCTAGCACAATGGAGTGCTGGTTAAGACTAGGGCTCCTCAGTGCTACAGTAATTCAAATAGTTATTAATAATAATAGTTTCTTTTGTGTTACAAGAAAACTCGGGTTGCAGCATGCTCTTTCCTGTCTTTTCCTCTTCCCACCTTCTTCTAGGTTACATCTAACACCTACAAGCTAGGTTTAGTGCTGCAATAAGTAGAACAAGAGTGGTGTCTGTCTGTCTATGTAAAACTTCAATTACTGAACCTTACAATACCTTTGGTCACACTTCAGTTGCTAAAGGTTGTGGATTTTGTGACTATTTACCTGAAATGTATGAAATTTCTTTCCTGAAACAGGAGTGTGATAGTAACCAGCAGGTTGCTATGCAGTGTTCTTATACTGTCCTGTTGTGGGACAGCAGGAATTTTTTGTTTTGTTTTTTGTTCCTGATAAGTCAAATTCCCTTATTGGAGTTAAATCTTGTGACCCTTGTCAGTGGGCATTTAGATTTCCAGGAGAAGATATACTTTATTAGGAAGCTTTAGAGGAAGGTTCAGTGTCTCCGTATACTGCCTATAGTACTGAGATATTGTAACCATGCTAAACTAATAGCTATGAAAGACTTTCTCAGCTAAATACTGAGGGAGCACAGATGGAAAACAGCTATCAAAATAAACATATTTTAATAAAATCTGGTATTTCTGAAAGCAGTTTTATACATGTGAAGCAATATGCCCTCACAATTCTAACTACATAAAGGTTCGTATAAATAGACAAGTGTATAGAGGTATGTGCTTCCAATACTTCACTGTTGATATAGGGAAATGATTTCACATAAAACATATGGCCCTTGTAGTGTTCATATAAACCAATATTGCCTGGATCCTATGGCTCTCAAGCAAGGGTCTGACCCACTTGTGAGTATCATGTTATCATAAGATGGTCATGTGCCTAGGCTGTCCAAAGACCAGGCATGTGTGTCAAGTGTGGTTGTTGAGAGCTCCCAGTGAAGAATATTCAAATGACTTATGGTTAAGGGATATGCCATCACTAATCCTTCTCTGAGCATTAATAAGCAAAAACAAAAAACAACACCTTGAAGGCACCTGAGAGCTTTTGGGCCACGCTAACTGAGTAGAATGAAGAAGATAATGACAAGATGGTCATTAAGAACTTCCAAACCCCTAGCCAACGTTTTGTTGAATTGATCAATAGGGGAGCAGAAACTTGTATTAGTTTCAGCCTCACCAAAGCGTGCATAACATTTAGCTAGTCTTTTTGGAATGAGGGATGTGTCTGGTAATAATACATAATTATAAATTTATGACTTTTGGGAAACTAAATGAGAAGGCAATAATACTGCAAATGGTTGCATTAAGTGCCAATGCTTCTTAGAATAATTGTCAGTCTTGTCTGTAATGTAACGTAACATCTTTCTTATTTCTGTCAGATGTATTTAAAGTTAAATGTTGTTAAATATAGTTTGAATTTTCCAAGCAGCAGTCTATACTCTTGAGTTCCAACAATGCAATCATCACCTTTTTGGCCCAACTGGATTGGCCAAGATTCCTTCCAGAGTTACCATTATTCTTTAGTTATCCAGAGGTATCCCTGGAAAGGGGAAGGGGTTTCATACACCATTCAAAACTCATACTTCTGACCAGTTTAGTATTGGTTTTCACATGTTTCAAAGAGGTTCACTGCAGTTATCTTTGGCCAAAAAGAGAGTGGCTGTGATGCAGAGACTTGAAGGTAAAGACTTAAGTGGACAAATAAGGTCAGGAGTAGAATTGGTCAGAAATTTTCAGATGAAACAGAGTTTTGTTGGAAAATGCCAGTTTGTTGAACTTAAAATGTTTTGCAATAACATCTTGGGTTTGATGAATTTTTGGTGAATCAAATGCTGGGTTATGATTGAACCTTGATGAAACCCTGCCAGCTCATCAAGCTGCTAGATCTTCCAGGATCTGTGGCTCTGAGGCAGCCTCAAGGCCAGAAATCCCAGTCTTCCAGGGTCTGCAACTCCACAGCAGGCAGCCACGCCAGAGCTTCCAGACTCCATGCCATGGAACTGGGAGTCTGAAAGCCAAGGGAGCTCTGACTTTAACATGGACTCAGCTCCCAACCTGGCAAAAGGGAGTCAGGAAGTGCTAAGAGCCCAAGTTGATCTGGGGATCTAAGGACTTACATACTTCCTGCCATGGATCTAGGACCCTAGAAGTCCTGGGATAAGCTCCCAGGATCTGTAGTTCCTGGGCATCCCTGCGTTGCGGACTGCCCTGGGGCAAGAAGTCCAGGGCTTCCAACTCTTAGGCAAGCAGCTATGAAACTGACAATAATATCAGTTTTACTCAGCAGGTGTTAAGGTGCGGGTAGGGTGACCAGATGTCCTGATTTTATAGGGACAAGTCCTGATATTTGTGGCTTTTTCTTATATAGGTGCCTATTACCCTTGCAATCTGGTCACCCTAGGTGCAGGGAACAGACTTCCTATTGGAAAGACGATGTGTCATTGTTTCCAAAAAGATATTTTTCAGGATTTCCAGTTCACAGGAAATTTAATATTTGTTTTGATTAATTCTGATTCAGAACAAAACCAACTTTCAAAAAAGTAAAATTTCCTGTGAACCAAAAATCCCACATGTCTGCCAGCTCTAATCAGGAGAGAGAACATCAAAACACCTGATGGGATAGATGACCACATAGGATAGGTGGTTATGAATTAAAATATGGGAAAGGAAGGAATAGATCACTTTAAAAGAGAACTGTGTGAAGTACAAGTAATTTATAAGGTCAGAATTTCCTAGTAAGTAGTGTCCTTTGGCACTGCATGTAAACTTTACCTATGTTCTTGCCTTTCTTTCCCCCATGATAGTTCTTGGTGTGCTACCTTATATATCATTCAGTTCTTTATTATTGCCATAATGAGCTGGAATTAATGCCCATCAGTTCCTCAAGGTGCCTTTCTGGTAACTGGAGATTATCAGGATGTGGAGATTCTCTGGCTATGCCCCTTTTTTCCCAGCCATGCCCTCCCAGTGCAGCAGCTGGGAAGAGAATTGGTGTAGGAGCTTTTACAATTGCTTTACTGCAAATGAGGATTCATCTGTAGAAAACCTCTGGGGAGGGGGAGCAAATCTAATGGCTTTATAACTGCCTTACACCACTCTAGCATGGCCCAAGATCTGGCCAAATGTGTATATAGTTACAGTAGGCCTGATTCTCCTCTCACAGATTCCTCATTTTCCCCAGTGTAGCTCCATTGAAATTAAGGGACTTACACCAGTATAAAATCAATGTGGGGGAGAATTAGGGCCTGTGACTGGTATGCTGACATCTTTATAATATTGTAATTAATCTTTACAATGAATTGGATTTGCAGTTTTCACAGGATGTGGATTAAACTGCTTTTCTTTATTTAAAAAGGTCTGATACTGCAATGTATCTTCACCTCCAACTATCCTTTAACTATCTGGTGTTTTCCCCCTATCAGTGAACTGGCCACATAGAGACCAGCATGTGTCCTCCAGAGAAAGTGGAATGTATCAGCAGCTGACAAAACAAATGGCTGGCTTGAAGTGGAGAGGGCCCGCATTCAATACAATATGCTTCAGCAAAGTTGATAGTTCAGTTGAAATAGGACAGATAATATAGTCAGTGGACCAGATTCATCTCTAGGTAGACTTCAATAGGGATGAATTTAGCCCCTTAGGGTTTTTTTTTAAACAATATGGCCTTTGTTTTGCCAGATTTAGACTTAGTATAATGTTTAATTTACAGATATAATACTAATATATATGAAATTTTGCTAAGTGTGTGGGAGAGTGGAACCATTGAGGTGACTTAATTTGGGCATATTTTATTATTTTGAAACAACTGGTGGTATTGTCCTTATTTGAAGTACAGTAGCTGAAGTAATTATTATGCTACAATGTCATTTTTCTAACTTGATTTCTTAACTCCTGTGGATTAAAATGACCGTAAGAGTAAAACTGTTTTTCCTAGTGTACATAATCACCACTGATTCTTTGATTGTCAGATTCCAGCATTGAAAGAAAAAGTTACAAAAAAAAAGGAGACAGTGAAAAGTGGAAGTGAAATTACAGTGCCTCATGAGAGCAGAGAATCACAAAAGGGATATCACAAGCAGCAACAGAAGAAGAGTCCTAGTTATAAGGTGGTGTTTTTATTATTAAAATCCAACAAATTCTCTGTAAATATTTTATGTAGATTTCTTGTCCTTTGATACCAGTCTGTGGACTATTCAGAACCATTGCTTGTTAAACCTTTTAGTTACTATGGTAAAAATAATAATTTGCATTTCTATAGTGACTTTCATTCAAGGATTTTGCACCACTTTACAGACATTCATTAATCTCCTGTGAGAGAAGTATTCTTATATTTGTACTACAGATGGAAAAAATGAGGCACAGAAGGCCTAAGATACAAGTTACAAAAAGAATCAGTAACAGAGCTGAGAACCATGAATTCAGTTCTATGTTCTAATCACTAGACTGTACGCTCTCTACCGAAAGGCATGGTCCTTGCCCATAAGAATTTATAATCAAAGGTCTTGATCCTGCTTCCATTCAAGGCAGTAGAAATTTTGCCATTGATATCAGTAGGATTGGCCTTAGACAAATATGATATACATGACAAAAGTTAAGCTTTACTTGTCTGTGCTGCCATCTTTATTATATAGCCCTCCAAAAAGCTGTGAAATTGTAATGATTCTCAGTCACTCCAGACCTGGGTTGGCTTTGAAACAATTACTAGAGTTAAAAGGTTTTGTACTCTGTTATTAATTCCTTTAAACATCTAGTTTCCCTACCCTAACAGCCAAAACTAGAAGTATGGCTACCAAGAGTAAAACTTAGTATTTTTTTGCATAATAAGCATAGAAAATAAATAATACATGACTTAACTTTTTGCAATATATTTTGCACTTGAGAAGGAAGCAGAAAGAAGAGCATTACTTGCTGAAATTGAGAAGCTGAAGATATCTGAAGGTCAAGAGAAGCAACACATACAAAGGTATTGGTCAGAATTTTTAAGACATTAATTTAATTCTATAAATATTTTAACATTTTGTGGGTTTTTTTATTTCAGTCTTAAAAACGAAGTTGAACAAATTAACAGAAGCTGGGCAAAGAAATTCCAAATTCTAAAGAAAAGGTATAGTGGTATTATAATATTGTCCATATTCATAGAAATAGCTCATGTCTATAATTTTGCAAACTATATAAGGAAATATTAAGGGTATAGATATTTTGTAGATACAGTATTACTACAATGCAATCACTCAAGCATTTAACTAGCTTGGTGTAGTATGCAAATGAGCAGAATCTGATCATAAGAAATGAGTCACTTGTTGGATAATATACCGTTGATCTGGTTGTAGCAATAACACACTCTTCAGGGGCAGGCACATTTGTATGATTAGTTTAACATTTATCAAGACTGTGGACAGAACACTGAAAATGTAATAATATATCTTTTTTTCTATCTTTAAAGTTGTTGCCATTAAAATACCAACATTTACTACCAGTTACCCCACTACTTTATTAAAAATGTTATTTTCTATTCTAAGTATAAAGAAATGCTGCTGAATTTTAAATGTCCCAGTGAAATGATACCAGTGTAAAGAAAGTGAATGGCATATATGGAGAAAAAATTCAAAATGATTCACACACAAATCTTTTAATGACAGAACTGATGGTCATGCTTTTAATGTACAGTTTTGAAAAATGTACCTCTATGATATGCATAATGAATATACTAGATGCTGTGTATGTGTAATCACTTGGGTCATGGTGTAATTGAAAAAAATAATTAAAAAGTAGATAAATTTACCAAGTTACCACCTATCTGTTATCTAGCACAGGATCTCAGAATGAACTCAAGAATGCTGATTTCTTTTAAGCCTATTAAATACATTACATGAACCTGTTGGCTGTTCATCCCAATTAAGTGAATTTGCCTAGTAATCATACCCATATTAACTAATGCTGTTTGTTTTTTTCATTGAAGGAAACTACTATTTTTTCATGTTTCCAATATTCATAAGATTACATATACACAGAATATTATATAATAAATTCATTATGCATGTCATAGAAGTAATTTTAAAATTGCATGTAAAGATTATCATTATTTTGTCAGTAACAAATTTGAGTCTACACTATTTTAAGAATTCTTCCTATGTTCACATGTCATTCACTTCAGCACATTGATCCTCTGATCCAAACTCATTTACACAAAGGGTTGGTGAGTGTTTTTTTGTTAAAGCCCTTTTATATCATGCTACAATGGGCCTCTATATTATTAATATTTTTCTCCTTTTTCTATTTCTTTTCTCTCCCCTCTCTACTGTTCTCCTTTTCCAGTTTTCTTCCTTTATTTTCATTTCCTTTCAGTCCTCTTAGATCAGGGGTGGGCAAACTTTTTGGCCTGAGGGCCACATTGGGGTTGCGCAACTGTATGGAGGACCGGGTAGGGAAGGCTGTGCCTCCCCAAACAGCCTGGCCCCCACCCCCTATCCACCCCCTACCACTTCCCGCCCCCAACTGTCCCCCTCAGAACCCCCAACCCATCCAACCCTCCCTGCTCCTTGTACCCTGACCGCCCCCTCCCAGGACCCCCACCCCCTATCCAACCCTCCTGCTCCCTGTCCCCTGACTGCCCCGACCCCTATCCACACCCCTGCCCCCTGACAGCGCCCCCGGGACTCCCACCCCCTATCCAACCGCCCTCTTCTCCTCGTCCCCTGACCATCCCCTCACCAGACACCCCGCCCCTATCTGCCCCCTAGGATCCCACCCCCTTATCCAACCCCCCCTGCTCCCTGTCCCCTGACTGCCCTCCCGACCCCATCCACATCCCTGCCCCCGACAGGCCCCCCCCGGGACTCCCACTCCCAACCCTCCCTGTTCCCCATCCCCTGACCGCCCCCCCAGAACCTCCGCCCCATCCAACCGCCCCCTCTTCCCTGACTGCCCCCCAGGATCCCCCGCTCCCTGCCCCCTTACCAGCAGCAGGAGCTCGCAGCCACGACATCCGGCCAGAGCCAGCTGTGCTCCCCACACTGCCCACCGGGAGCGGCAGGCCAGAGGGCAGCCCGCGCGGCGGCGTGGGAGAGGGGGCAGCGGGGGAGGGGCCGGGGACTAGCCTCCCCGGCCGGGAGCTCAGGGGTCAGCAGGGCCGACTCCAGGCACCAGGCACCCAAGCTGGTGCTTGGGGCGGCACCTGGAGGGGGGCGGCGGCGCAGCGCTCTGGCCGCCGGGGGGGGGGAGAGCCGAGCCCCAGCCGGGGCTCGCCGCCCTCCCCCCAGGGCTCCTGCCGCCCTCCCCCCCCCGGCGCCCTGCCCCCGGCGCTCTGGCCGCCGGGGGGAGGGGGGGAGCTGAGCCCCCGCCGGGGCTTGCTGCCCTCCCCCCGGGGCTCCGGCCGCCGCCCCCCCCCGCGGGGGGGAGGGGGCGGCGAAAAAGCCAGAGCCGGCCCTGGGGGCCAGGCAGGACAGTCCCGTGGGCCGGATGTGGCCCGCGGGCCGTAGTTTGCCCACGTCTGTCTTAGATGATTATCCTTCACTACTTTTTCTCTCTCCTTCAAGGATCATATTCTTCCTCTTTTTTCCTTGTCTTTTCCTTTTGATCCTTTTACTCCTTCCCAGTCCTTCCTCTGCATCTCTTTCCCTCAGCCAACCTTCTCCTCTGTTCTACCCATCTTCTCGAATCTTCTCTCTTCCCTTCACTCTGCCACTTCTCCAACTGCAAAAGTCTCATGTTAGTACTCTCCATACTGGGCCTTCTGTTGAACTTATTAGATGGTGCTGCCATGTAGAGAAGTGTACAGAGTTGCCTAGCCTAAGGTGTGAGTAGTTCTCCTCCTACGCACATCTGATAGTATCATCAGATAAAGACGCACAAAAAAACCAAACCTGACTAAACATGTTTAGGAAGACTCCAATGAGTGGCGGTCACGATTATATCTATCTTAGCTACTTATATGCCCCCCCATTACTGTAATATATGAGCCATATTAGGAAAAAAGTACTATTATCATTATATACTATATGAGATCTAACTTGATGAGAAATGTAATGTATTCTCTTAATAGTATCACTAAGCACTTTTATAAGTTGAGCCTGCTGAAGTTAGAGGTGGATGTGTGGTTTTGTACATATCTAATCACTGTAACACCATAAAAATAGATTCATTTTGACAGATATTCTGTTTACAGAGAGGTACATAACCAGAATACAGGAAAAATCTTGTTTTGCCTCCGTTTTTCTGATATTTTATGGAAGCACTGTGCGTAATAAACTGTCTTTTTTTTTCCATAAAAATTTGACTACTAGAGTTTGGCAGGAAATGGTTTTCCCATCACATTAATATTTTCAAGAGTTCAAATTTTTTCCCACCTTGAATCTGGATCAAAATTTGAAATCTTGAAAATACATGTGAAACAGAAAACCAATTCTTTTGGGGGGGCTGGAGGGTAGTTAAAACAAAACCTTTCATTTTGATAATTTCAGAACTTTTCATTTTGATTTTGACTTATTTGAAAAACTTTAATTTGGTTTAATTAGCTTACATTTCAAAACAAAAATCAGAAAACAGATTTTTTCATTTTGACAGTTTAGGAACTTTTTTCTTGATTTTTTTTTTTTTAAGTCAAACATGATAGCTTCAATTTTGACAAACTGGCAGTTTTTGAAAAAAACAAATTCATTACGAAATTTCTGACCTGCTGTAGTGACTACCTGAAGAGCACACAGACTTGAGTTTGCGTTTAATCCTTATGTTATTTTTATAAATTATATTTTTTCTTTATTATTCTCATGTTTCTATTGCATATAAATGTAAAATATGAGAGCCCTCTTGTGGCGAAAATAATACCTGTCAATTTTATAGATGTTGATCAGACTGTGTGGCCTAGTGGATAAAGTGCCTGCCAAATATTTAGACTATATTGCATGTAAGCCCTTTTAAATTTATACTTTGTATTCTTTTTTTCAGCTTTTTCCATCAATTAAATTAAAAATTAATTCTTGACAGTTTTCCTTTTTAAGTGACTTTAGTGCTCATGAAAGTTATCGCTTTGAGAGTACAGGAGATTGAAGTCCTCTGTTCATTTACAGACATAAGTAGAGGACAGCAAGGCAAACTCACACTTTTGGCCTTTCTTCTAAGACTGCCATGAACAGTGCTAGTTAGCATCAACTGTGACGGTGGTTTTTGCGATGTGGACACTTGTACGCTAGGAACTCTACTAAGACTAACAATTTATTTCATATAGGCTACCAAACAGCTATTAGATAGAATTGTCTTTCAGCCACTATTGACCTAGGGCTAGTCTCTGACTGGTGGTTTTGGAACAGAAGATTGTATGGGCTAGATTGACAAAGGGACTTAGGCCCCGAGAAAATCACTGGGAGTCACAAAGCCTGAGCTAGGCACTCAAGCTGCCTATACAATGGAAGGGAGGAGACACCTAAGACTGGGATTCACAAAAACCAGCATGCTAGATGGAGAGCCATCTAAACTAACCAATGGGAGATGCCAAGCAGAGGAGTATGCCCTCAGCCACACCCATCTCAGGGAGTTTGGTGCCTATCGCTGCTTGGAATTCAGCTGTGAACTCTCTCCTCAAGTCAGGTGCTGCTGGGGCTGGGGAGGAAGGGAGGTACGGAGGAGCTTCATCATAACTTTTAGCCTAGCAATCAGGGCACTCATGTGGGATGTGGGAGACCCCTGGATCCAGTCCCCCCTCTGCCTGAGGAGAAGGGATTTGAACAGGAATCTTCCATCTCTCCGGTGAATGCTCTAACCACTGAGTTCCTTCATTCTCTCCTGGTGAATCTGCTCCACTGTGGATAAATAATTAGAGTCATTAGGGGGCTGGAACCTGGGTCTCCTGCATGCTGGGTGAGTGCCATTCTCTTGTTTGTTTGTTTGTTTGTCTCTCTCTCTCCCTCCCTCACCCCCAATGACTCTAAATATTTATACACAGTAAAATAGTTTCAACAGGAGATATTGAGGGAACCCCATATCAGAATATCCCATGGCACAGTGGTTAGGGCACTCACCTGAGAAGTAACAAATCCCTTCTCCCCTTCAGGCAGAGGGGGGACTTAAACAGGAGTCTGCCACATCCCAGGTGAGTCCCCTAACCACTGG